TATAGGCCTTATGTAGACTGTCTGCAGCATTTTGTAAATGCAGGGTTCTGAATCAGTAGTAGTAGTAGTAGTAGTAGTAGTAGTAGTAGTAGTAATAGTAGTAGTAGTAGTAGTAGTAGTAGCAGAAGTAGTAAGTAGGAGTAGGTGTGGGGTAGGAGTAGGGGTGGGAGTAGGAGGAGGAGTAGTAGGAGTAGAAGGACTCGTGGGAGTAGTAGGTCTAGTAGTAGGGATGGGACGCATAGGACTAGTAGGAGTAGGACGAGTAGGAGGAGTATGCCGAAATCGGGACGAATGCGCCTGATAATATGATGAGTTCTACTGTTTCAAACGGTAGGCGTTGGTGCTACTTTCTACGTACTTCGTTGACAACATCTTATTGACATAATCCTACACCTGTAACCCTGAACAGGGACTCTCTCTCTCTCTCTCTCTCTCTCTCGAAGCCCTAACTCATGAATCCAAGCGTGCCCAACCACTGAAAAATCCCCAAGCCCACGTCCAAATGCCCTGTAAACCCTATAGCCCGGCAACCGAAGTGCTCACCAAGCCTTCGCCCGACCCCCCGACGACCCAGACCCTCTACAACTTACCAAAGAGCCCTCATAAGGATTGCTGCAAGGGCTGCTACTGCAGAGTCTCCGAAAGCCTTGAAACTCCTCCCAGGATCTTCGCCCCGGGGCAAGCACCCAGAGTCGCGACGGCGAAGGGAGCCGGGGCCAAGGCAGCGCCTTCCAAAGCAGCACAGGCCTTGCCTTGCCGGGTTCAGGGGCTCCGGGTTGAGAGTTTAGGAGTTTAGGAGGTTTCGGGGTATAGTAGGGTTTAGGGGTTTGGGGCTTAGGGGTTTAGGGTGTAGGGGTTCAAGATTCAGAAGTTTCGGGGCTTCGTTGCTGTATTTTTCGCTTGTTGCGGTTTCGGGTTGTTGAAGGCGGTTTAGCGATGCAAAGAGCCCCGGCTCCCAAACTCCCGACTTCAGAATCCTTCAACCCCCTGGTGCCAAGCAGTAATTCTCTAAAACACACAATGCCCCCTAAACCCCTGTAGTTTCCGACTCCAAATCGAGCCCTGAAGCCCTACACCCTCGAGACCCCAAACTCCAGAAGCCCCAAACCCTAAACTCCCTAAACTCCCTCAACCCGAAATCATTAGCCCTAGACCCTTAACACCAAAACCCTAAACCCTAAACCCTAAACCCTAAACCCTGAACCCTGAACCCTAGAATTTCCTTGCAAACTGTCACGAGGATGGTCGCCCTAAATGAAGCCCTCACCCCGTGATGCTCCCAACGCCTCCCGAGAGTTCCGGCAGGAGGCGCCAAAGGCCGCTCCGAAGGCACCGCAGGCGGCGCCGAAGAAGGCCCAGACGACTGGGGTGGGTTTAGGGTTTAGGGTTTAGGGCTTAGGGTTTAGGGTGAGACTGAATATTTTGCTGTTAGTAGTAGCTAGTAGTACTATCAAGAGTATGGTGCTGCTGGTGCTAGCAAAGCTAGTAGCATGAGTAGTACTAGCAGTACTAGGTGAGACGCCGGCTAGGTCATGGCGATGATGAAAGCAAGAGAGCGGAGAGCTCAAACCAACTCCCAAACTCAATACCCGGAAGCCCTCGCCCCAAATCCCGAAGCTCGGAAGCACAAGCTAAAGCCCGAAGCCCCAAAACCTTTTACCCTAAACCCTAAACCCTAAACCCAAAACCCCTAAACCCTAGAACCCTAAACCCCAGAAAACCCTAACGGAGCCCGAAGCCTCCAACCCCAAAGCCTGCTTCGCGAGGACTCTGCACCAAAGGTGGCCGAGCCCACAGCCCAGGTCCGGCAACCGGCTGTTTCGAGCTCCGGGGATTGGGTAGTACCATGACGACTACTACCACAAAAACTACTACGACGACTACTACCACGAACATTACTACTACGACTACGACGACGACGACGACTACTACTAAGTTACTACTACAACTACAACAACAACAACTACAACAACAACTACTACTACCGCTACTACTACTACTACTACTACTACTACTACTACTACTACTACTACTACTACTCCGACGACGACGACTGCTACTGCTACTGCTACCACTCCCGCTGCGGCTCTGCACCGGCAGCGACGGCGACGACGACGACGACGACCACGACTGCTATATGACTATTGCACTACTACGACTGCTACGACTACTACCACTACTGCCGCTACTACCACTACTACCACTACCACATTACGTACCCCAGCCCGTGCGTCAGGTGCCGGGTCAAGTACCTGTCGAATGAGGATGTGCGATCTTTCAATCCGCAAGAGGGAATCCTTCCACGAGCGCTAGATACACCACCATCCACCCACCCCCTCCCCGGGGCGGGATGAAACTTTCGCGCACGCTAGGTACCTCCGCGGTTAAGGTCCGTATCAACTACAGGATGTGGGATCTTTCAATACCTCCCCACGGGTTACTTGCACGGGGTACTCCAGGAGGTATCCCGCAAGAGGGCATCCTTTCGCGCGGGCTACCCTCCATCCACCCAACCCCCCGGCGGGGATGAAACTTTCACGCGCGCTCTGGGTACCTCCGCGGGTTAGGTCCGTATCTAGAGGATGTGGGATCAGACAACATACCTCTCTGCAGCTTACCTGTGCAGGGTACTCCAGGAGGTACCCAGCAAGGGGGAATGCTTGGTTACGTAACGATCGCTTCCACCATCCCCCCCCGCCGCGTGCGGGTTGAAAGCTTCGCGCGTGCTTGGATACCTTCTTCGACTCCGCACACCAACCCTGTCCTCGCGGGTTTTGCTCAGGAGGTACCCTGCGAGAGGGAATCCTTCTGTGCGCGGTAGATAGCTTCCGACACACCTGCAACCCACACCGACCCTAGCTGTTCTCGGATACCTTCCCATCCACCCCCCATTCCCCTACCCTTGTCCGGGCGGGTTGCCTGCGTGGGGTACCTCCGCACGTTAGGTACCTAATTGAGAGGGATAGGGGATGTGCGGGGTACAACCTGCACTAGCACTACCACTACCACTACCACTACCACTACCACTACCACTACCACTACCACTACCACTACCACTACCACTACCACTACCACTACCACTACCACTACCACTACCACTACCAGCCACCCCCCCCCCCTACCAAC